TCATATATTTACCTTTAAAATATATCATGTGTCGTCATAAATCATGCGTAAAATTCATTTTTATATTATTAGCTCTATCATACATTTTTGTTTTTGATAATTTCATATACACTGAACAAAATATCCCGGTACAATTAGGTACGTCCGGCTATTGTTGGTTCGCTGATCGTTATTCTTTTTGCTGGTTCTCGTTATGAAAATTCAGGAAATAATATCGAGAGCTAACACAGTAGAGCTACAATTCGAATGTAATTGACTCTCTGAAGGTGGACTATAACGGTTGAAAAAGTGATCCCATATATTAAATATGACAGGTTCTATAGCGATTAGTCACACACTCGCATTATTTTACATTTCCTGTGTCATTATTCTGAGCGCTTTTCACTGTAAAATTCGGAAAGGTTTCTTCATTCGGTTGTAGTCTCCTTGCGGTGGTATGAAATTGCTTAGCAAGTATCTGAAGAAGCATTGCTTAGTTTCATTTCTCAGTGAAACATATTCCCATCATTTGCCGCTACCTCCGCTCGTGTGATCAGCTGTGCTCGCTTCAGTTCTGTCCCCATGGTGCCACCCCGCTCGCTGCTGATGGCCCGCTCACTTTCGCTAACCATATTTGCCGGCTGCCGTCCGTCCGCTCCTTCCGCGAATCATACGCGCCGCGGGAGGCAGCTTTCACTTTTGACGACTATTTCGGTCCGCGGCGACAGGGAGCAACGGCCGGCCACAAAACGCTGTCCGCGAGCGGCGCAAAGGGTTCGGTCCGCACTACCTACAGCCGAGGACGGGCTGGAAAACACCCCATATACCGGGCACGTGTCGCGCGCCGCAGCCGGCCGGCGCACCGCCTGTTCCGCTTCCCGGTCGGCACAGGTGGGGCGGCGCCCGTTCGGCCGCCTGCCCGCCTGCCCGACTGTTTGCCGATCCATATTTTTGTCATTGCGGAAGGCGCGGCGTCACCGAGCGGCGCCGGGGGGTGGCATGTCGCCGGCCGCTGACGAAAACAGACGGCGGCCGCAGCGCCTCTGGCGGAGATCGCCGGCAGCTCGTGTAGCGTCGGACCGTGTTGGAACTTCGTCATGAGGTCTTTAGCAATCAGTTCCGGATTATGACTGCCTCGTGGCTTTCAGAAATCAGCGTCCAAATCTGTTGGAAACGCGGATAAAGACTCTTCGGTGAAGGCGGGGGAGGAGACGCTCTGAGGCGTTATAAATCGGTAACGGTCACGGCTTATTTCCCACGATCAGGCGAGACGTTTCAGCGAAAGGATTCCACTCCACGCTCTTATCCCTCTTACGGGTCTGACTTGTGGCCATGCTGCTGCTTGCTTGTGTTCTGATTAGCCTGTGGCCGATTTTTCCGGCACTTACCATTCATACGCGGGCGGCTTCTCTTCCGGTTCGCTCAGATGGGTTCCGCGGTCGTGTTTCCATTACCTATTTTTTTATGCAGGGTTTGTGATTATTAGGGTAGAACATGTAATCACCTATACTAATCATGAGGTGCGGAATAGCTCACCATATTCTCTCTTGAACGAAGAACTGAACTAAACTCATGACGTTGGATCATGACCCAGGGCTTCCATAAAGTCGTATCGTTGGTCGGCAAGTCCATTTAGGTATTTCTGTAATGAGGATTTCAATGCTTGTTACGGAATTCTAAACGTTACCTTCTTTTACACGATAGACAGGTAAAGGTTCGCATTTCAGCTCTTCGACCTTATCAGATATATCTACCTAACTGGCGCACTCCATCACCCGAGACACCGAACATTTTGGGGACCGGGCAGCCAATGAGCGGATTCCGTATTTAGCCCTCGGTTTCCTTTTCAGCGGTCAGTAACCCTTTCTTCCGCTTCCTCCCCTCCATGGCACCGATCGGGGGTCAAAAATCGGATCACCAACGCGGAAGTGGCTGTGTGTGTGCGTGTTTTCCGATGGATTTTACCGGCACAACCGGAGCCTGTTTACGTGGCCCACTTCTGGCGCGGCGCGGCGAAAGCGCGGGGAGGCGCGGGCGCGCGCGAAAGGGGAGCAGGCGGGGTGCGTGTGTGCGTGAACGGCCGATAACCGGGTCGGTGGCGGCGCGCCGAACGGTCCGCCGACAAACAGTGTGCGTGCCGGGCGCGGCGGCGGCCAACGGCCCGGCCGGTCACACAGCCGGCCTGGGACGGTAAACGGGACACCAGATAGGTGCCGCGGGCGGGACGGCGACTTACCGGACGGCACCGGGTTACAGACGGCACCGGGTTACAGACGGGTGCTAAGCGAGATACAGGACGGGAGAAGTGATATTTAGAGCAATGATCAGACCTGACATCGCGACTGCACGGTGTTCGAGCTTATTTTAAAGGGACCCTCCCACCTTAACATTAGATTTTAGTTGAGATAGCCAAAATGGGGTCCCTGGCTCACAATTACCGGTTTCGGCACTCACAACATCGAGAAATGCCTTAAATCGGAAATATTGAATTTCAAAATTGCAGCATTTTGATTCAGAGGGGCTAATGCTTAGGAATACCCCTCTGAATGTGTGACGTCAGCGCAAATATCTAACGATTTTTAAATGTTTGACTAAAACGTTTTGTAGCACGAGGTGGTATATGCTATTTGCGCGCAACATCTGCCGCAAACGCCGCACTTCTAAAATAAAGTCGCTAGAAACAGCGGAGATCCCAAAAAAAGTAAACAAAAGTAAAAGTCTAATATCTTGAAAAACCGGTGAATTTTTTTCGGTGAAATTTGGTAGATACATATTCGTTTTCGCTCTTTCTGAACCGAGCGACATCACTTTCATGCCAATTCATAAACTTTTTTGAAGGTGGGAGGGTCCCTTTAACCCGCGAGTTGCTGGGGGGGGCGTTAAACGCCCCCACTTTTTTCGCCGGGCCATAGCATAAAAACGGCGCGCCGCAGGCGCGCCAAATTTTGGGTACCTGTAGGGAATTGATTGAAGTTTATTGTGACAAAGTTTCAAAAAAATCGGTCGGAAAATTTTTGGGATATCGAGGTTTTAGTGACGTCATGATTTCTGAGTTTTCGACCAAAAACGGCATATGTTCAAAAAATCATATAAAATCACAGAATAGACATACAGACATGCTGTAAACGCCATTAGACTGCCAATACCATGATCAATCAAATGGCTATCTTCGATTATTGATTATCGTTCCGCATTTTCCATAATCTTGAACTGAATCTTGGCAATTTTTCGTGACTACTTCATGACCATGATACATGAATTTCTTAAATTGAACTTTTTGAGCCAAACACGTACACATATGATAAAATAAATGTCACCATCGTGTTCTACGCCCCAAATTACCCATAAAACATGTGTCACAGGCTGCGAATATCAGTTTTGATTTTCGGGGATATGTGCCTACCCGGTTGACCTGACCTTGACCCTGACCTATGCTTGACTGACCCCTACATGGAGCTGACACTCTTGTAGGCCTTATAAGATGGATTGTGCACCGTTTTGACAGAGTTTATGGCGAGAGGCGCCCATTGCGAAGTCCTGAAGTCCATGCTACTGAAAGCCCGATTTCAGGTGTTTGACCTGACCTTGACCCGACCTGTGACCTCAAAATTGAACTTTAAAGTACTCATCTGAAGCGTCTCGTCGCGCTCTTTCGTTTGCCGCCTCGTGCGTTTCGCTGCGCCTATTGGTTCTCGAGTTATCGGCTGGGGGCGTTTAACGCCCCCCCCCCCCCCCCCCAGCAAACGGTGGGTGGCGAAATACCCCAGCAACTGCCGGGTTAAGCACACAGATATATAGGTAGCTCAACGCAGTTAATAGCGATTTATATTTGCATAATTATGTAATGCTTTCTAAATCATATGGGGGGTGAAAAACCAGCGAAAAACAAGTTTATTACATCACCGGTTGTTACGAGCGAGCGAGCGCAGCGAGCGAAGTGAGTCTTTTCAATATAACGGAAAAATCTCAGTATGAGCGGCCCGGCCCGGCCCGGCCCGGCCCGGCCCGGCCTGTAACGCTTTTGAGAGGCTTATATCTCAGCAACCGCTGGACCGATTGGCCTGCGGTCTTTTCTGCTGGGTAGCCCCATCCCTTCTACCCCTTAATTGACTACTTTTGATACACCTCAGTGACCGTCGTGGCACGTGCCACGAAAAGTCAAGGGTGTTCAAGCTGTTTTGCAAAAGTAGTGATTTTGAGAGGCTCATATCTCAGCAGCCGCTTGGGCGATTGACTTGCGGTAATATTTGTAGGGTAGCAGCATCCCTTCTACCCAAAATAGGATACTCTCGATGCATGTGTGTCACCCCCAGTGCACGTGCAAAATACAACAATAAGAGGTGCCAAATTTGTTCCCATTTCAGTAACTCGGTAATTACTGGGGCGATTTTGCTGAAACTTGGCATACAGGTAGGCACCCACCAGGCAATGCATTCCCATGTGTTGCGGTTAGGGTGCTACTGCACGTGCGCACGTGCAGGGGGCGTTTCCAGATCTCGAGAACGGCTGGGCCGATTGCGCTCAAATTTGGTACACGGTTGGAGACCAGTTAGAAGGGTGCCGTGCAAAAGTCATTTTGGACCCCGTTTGCACGTGCGCACGTGCAGAATGCCGCTTCCAGATCTCAGGAACGGCTGGGCCGATTGCGTTCAAATTTGGTACACCGCTAGCGACCGGTTAGAAGGGTGCTTTGCCCAAGTCCGTTGGAAGTACCCTCTCGCCCTTCCGCACGTGCAGGGCTCACTATCTCGCTCGCTCGTTCTTCGCCCAAAAGGCGTTTTACTGGTAAGATAACGTGTTGTAAGTCAAAGATGAGAGGGCTATAAAAAATACATGTCGCTAGGACTAAAAACGCATGCGAAAGTGTCAACATTCCCAATATCGTAACTCATTTTCAACCTCGTTCCAAATGTACCGTCTCAGTTGCTGATTTATCAAGTCAGCCAGGTCGGACAGTTCATTGGCTCGCTGATGGAGCGGTGTGGTGTGTCCCGTCTCTGACCCGCGCCGTTCTCCGGCAGGTACTCTCTGCTGTCTCGCCAGCCGCGCCCATGCTGGAGGAACCGCTGAAGATGGCCTCGAGCCATGACCACACGGGCGGGCCGACCGGCGGCTACCAGGCTGGCCTGCACTCGCCGCCGCCAGCAGCGCCGCCGTCACCGCCGCCAGAGGCGCCAACATCGCCGCAGCAGTACCCCTCGCCGGCCGAGCCGCCGCGGCCGCGAGAGACCAGCTCACCCGACTACAGCCTGTACGGGTTCGGCGCGGGCCACGGCGGCTTCCCGGTACCCGTGTACCTGGACAAACCCCGGGAGGTAGAGGAGAGGTCGGAGAACGGCCACCCGGAGCCGGCGCCCAGCCCGCCGCCGGCCTCCAACGGCCACCACGGCAGCCCGCGGCCGGCCGCGGAGCGCGCCGGCTCGCCGCCGCCGGTGGAGCCGGGCTCTCCGCCCGCCGACTGGCCGCGCACCGACTCGGTGCTTCGGTTCGGAGACCGTCTCCACCCGCCCCCCTCGGCAGGACCGGAGCGGACCGGTGACGGAGAAGGAGACTGCGAGACGGGGACCGAGGAGCTCGGATCGCGGACCAGCAGCTCCCCGCCGGCCCCCGGGACTGAGACCGACCAGCGGCCCGAGGGAGACACCGCGCCCGCGCCCGGCTTCAACGCCCTGCAGCGGCTGCAGCACGCGCTGGAGCAGAACGGCACGTTCAGCGTCTACGGCGAGGAGTCGCCGAACGGCGGCGGCGGCGGCGGCGGCACCGAGATCTACCAGTGCCACCTGTGCACCTACACGGGCAGCTCGAAGTTCCACTTCAGCCAGCACATGCACTCGCACTACGACTTCAAGTGCTCGCAGTGCGACTTCAGCACCCACTCCAACGTCAGCCTCAAGGAGCACATGAAGACGGAGCACAACATCGAGATCAAGGACTACATGGACGAGCCGGGGGTCCGCGTGCCGCGCGTCAACGCCTCCGGGAAGGTGCGCCTGCACAAGTGCAAGTTCTGCGAGTTCAAGACGGCCACACAGGTGGAGCACTGGGAACACCTGAAGGGCCACATCGCTCCTGAGAAGCGCTTCTGGTGTCACGTGTGTCCGTTTATCACAGACGTCAAACACCACCTCACCTACCACCTGCGTAACCACTTCAACTCAAAGCCGTTCAAGTGCAACAAGTGCGAGTACTCGTGCGTCAACAAGTCGATGCTGAGCTCGCACATGAAGTCGCACACCAACTTGTACCAGTACCGCTGTGGCGACTGCAACTTCGCCGCCAAGTACGCCAACGCGCTCAAGAACCACCTGCGCAAGGAGAAGCACCGGCCGGGCATGGTTCTCAACCCGGACGGCTCGCCCAACCCGTTCGTCATCATTGACGTGTACGGCACGCGACGCGGACCCAAGATCAAGAAGGACGACAACGGCATGCCGATCCTGCCGTCCTCGTTGCAGGAGAACTACGTCAACTTTATCCAGACGCAGAACAAGTACATTACGAGTCCGACTAACCCGTGTAACAACTTCAGCTCGCCGTACCTGAAGTCAGAGCCGCCGCTGGACGCTGGCGAGGGGAAGCTGGCGCTGCCGCGCGGCTACATCCGCTGTGACATGTGTCCATACAGCACGCCGGACCGGGAGCAGCTGACCCGGCACATGATGAACCACATGACGCCCGACAGCCAGCAGCCCGAGGAGACCTCGCCCGCCTCGTCCAAGTCTGGGGACGAGGTCCGCGAGCCGCCTCCACCCCCACCGCCGTCCGGACTCGGACGGATGGAGCTGCTGCGCAGCGCGCTGGCACAGCCCGTGCGCCTGCCGACCAGCCACCTGTCGATGACGGCGTCCCCACCGCCACCGCCGCCGCTCCCGCCGCCGCCCCCACCACCGGCGTACCGCCGCCCGGAGCCCAGCGAGCCAGCGGCGCCGCGGCTGCCGCAGTACGACTCCCTGGCGGCCCACCGGGTGCGCGAGTACTTCAGCCGCGCGCTGCAGTCGCCGCTGCTCTACAACCTGTCGATGGCGGCCGGGCTGAACGGCGCGCCGCCGCCGGCCGCCGGCTTGCCGCTGCCCTTCAGCATGACCCGGCCGCCGCCGCAGCCGGCCCCGAGCCCGCCGCACACGCGCGTCGTCTCGCCGCGGCCCAGCTCGCCGCCGTTCTACGAGCGTCCGCCGCCCCAGAGCGAGTCACCACAGCCGAGCTCGCCGCCCGCCGAGCGCGGCGACGTAGCGCTCGACCTGAGCCGACTCGGCAAGCGCTCGAGCAGCGACGAGTCTCCTCCTCCTCCAACCAAACACCGGCGCAAGGGGCGCGCGCAGAAGCTGGAGCTGATCTCGCAGCGCCTGCAGGAGGCGGGCGGCTCTCCGCAGCACTCTGCCGGCAGCCGGGAGCGCAGCAGTTCTCCGGAGCGCGGCGGCGAGGAGCCGACTGACTGGCGCTCCGGCGCGCACACCTGCCACAACTGCGGCATCGCCTTCAAGGACCTGGTCATGTACACCATGCACATGGGCTTCCACGACTACCGGCGCCCGTTCAGCTGCAACAAGTGTGGCGAGCAGTGCCGGGACGCCATCGCCTTCTTCCTGCACATCGCGCGCGTGCCGCACTCGTCCTAGGAGCGGCCGGCGCCTGCTGTGTCGCCGGCCCGGTGCCTAACCGTCGTCTCGTCACACCACCGCGTGCCTCGAGCTCAGCTGCTGTGTCTCAGTGTCTCACCATTGCAGCCTCACCAGTCCGAGTTGGCTGGATCTTGTTGATTGTTTTCTTTTTATTTCTGATAGTATTTTTGTTGGTCGGTTTTGAAAGCACGACGGCCAGTAGTGTTAAAAAGAGTTTGCATATCTTGCCTGCATTTAATCGTGTAAGTCATGTATTGTTTATTTATGCGTTGTCGCTGTATTTGTATTTTTATGGTGGTTGTTCCTGAATATCTAGTCTGGGCATGGCATCGTTGCTAGACTTCTTTGAAACGAAGGCAGTGACCTCTTTGTATCTTTATATCGACTGATGTTATTTTTCGTATGGTTGAACTTTATTTATAGGATATCTTCAAACCTTCGACGATATTGTGGCCTTGACGTTAGTGCTCTGAAGTTCATTCCCGCCTCAGACTTTATTTCGGGTTCCGACTTGATGCTGCTACAATAGTCTTTTGTAAATATTCTTGACGTTTTTCTTGTGCCCAAGTGGTATGTATTGCATTGATTGACCTGAAGCCAGGTACTTCACAGTCCAACGTATTTGTATCGTTTGATACACAGTGTGCATGCATGTATTGTAAATGTTAGAATAGGCATTCAAGGATATCTCAGGGATTCGCAGGGATTTTGTGTGCACGTTTAGTTACACTAAGTGCATTTCCCGTGAGCTCACTGGCATTTTATCGAATCGATCTCTGGAACTGGCATTTCCCCTGTGGCACTGTCTCTGCCGGATACGGCCACCTGCTCATAGTGTATGATCTCCACAGAGCGTGTTCGCCGCCCTCCTCTCACTATAGGTATTAGTACCTCTGGGTAGTTCCACCCCTGTACGCGGGGAGAGCGGTACCGTACTGCCGCCGCCGTCCGAACCAAGTCCAGACCTCGCACCGCTCCCAGTACAAAGGTTGACCCGCGCCCGGAGTGTCATCCCCGTCCCCCGAGCGACCGCGATGTCTCGGTGTTTGTCTCATGATTGTCTCCGGGGAGACAGGCGCCAGGGCGGTGTTTGTCTCGATCAAGATCGCGCCGGATCTAACGGGCCTTATTGGTTGCCTCTATGCATCTCAGGAAGTTCAGTTCCAGTTGATTTGGCCGCTGGTGTGGAGCGGCGTGAACAATGTGTACAACGTACTGACAGAAACGGGTTTTCATTGCCAAATGTGTGAACAGTCGGCGTGTGAGTGTGGGTGAGTGCTTGCATCGTTTTGTAATTTCCTAGATCTGGATGTAAGATTGTTTATTCTTTTGTGGTTGGTGAATGGTAGCTCTCTAGTATGCTAACTTCATGAATAAACCGGCAAACCGTTCGGACTGTTTCTGGGGATATCACAGCGCCCGCTTGCGGGACTGGGTCTTGGTAGAACAACGCTAGCTGCTTTGCGTGATTGTAATTTCGTATTGTGGTAAGAGACAGGTTGTGGCTAATTTAACGTTCAGTTAAATAGACGTTCAATGAAATAGATCGATGTCGTTTGTGGTACTTTCAGAAGCAGGTTATAAGTGACATATCATATGGACAAGGTCATCTTCACCAGTGTTCTTATGAGGGTTCTTTCGTAGCCCCATGCAGAAAACAAATGGCTTGTTTCATTTATTATTGCACATACTTTCGGCGTCATTGACTATAGATATTATCGCACATATTGAGCCACCACGCGGTGGAAAACAGCAATTTCTACTAAAAGCATCCAGCGAAGCGATTTTCTCTTATATAAAAGCTACACTGTAAAACCTGCACCATCAACACCAAACATTGGACACAAGCACGAGTCTCGAACATGATCACATCGGACAGACGCTGCTGTCACCTGGAGCCGACACCTCGCAGCTCCAGTACACAGTTATCACGCTAGGTGGCACTCAAGTCGCGCGCGCCGCGCTCACCCGCTCACCGTATTATGTGCGGCTTCTCACCGCATCGCAGCTGCCGAAAAGTCAACCGCTCACCACAACCCGAACTCGCTGGACAGGGCCTCATGTCACAGTGGCCCGTGTCCGTGTCCGTGTCAGTGACCCGCGGCCGTGTCAGACGGCGGGCCGGCGCCGGCGCGGGGTCACGCGTCGGTAGTCTCCTCCTCCAGCGTGGCGTCGATGAGACTCTCGGCCCTGCTGGCGGGCCGCGGCAGGCCGCGTGTGGTACCGCCGCGCAGCACCTGCCGCACCTCGTCCGGGGTGAGCTGGCGCGGCGCGGCGCTCTCGGGCAGGCTGAGTCGGCCCGTGCGCAGCACCTCGCGCACCTGCTCCGGGGTCAGGTCACGGGGCAGACTCCGTGACACGGGCGGCACGCTGTCGGCCGGCAGCTGGCGCAGCAGGCCCAGACTGAACGAGCGCTGGTGACCGAGCGGCGGGGCGGGCGGCCGCCGCGGGTATCCCTCCTCGGTCAGCACGGCTGGCGGCGCGGCCGGCGGCGGCGGAGGAGCCCGCTCGGCCGCCGGCCGGCGTATGGAGCTGCCGAAGCGGCGCAGCGAGCGGCGCAGCGGTGCCGGCATCTGCTCCATCAGCAGCGAGGCGTAGCTGGGCGGCGGGTCCGAGGGCACGCCGCGCTCGGCGGCCGAGCTGGCGCGGGCGGCGGCCCCCTCCTCTGCCCGCTCGGCCGGCGCCGCCAGCTGGCGGACCGCGCGCATCGAGCGCCGCATGCTTTGTCGGAGCATCTTGGCGAGCCGGGCGCCGGTGGCGGTGCTGTAGCTGGGCGGAGGCGTGTACTTGGGCGGCGGGTCCGTGTAGCGGGTGCGCGTGCGCTGCACCGTGTGCTCCTCCTCCTCCTCGGCCGTCACTCTGCCCAGCATCGCCTCGTTGTACTCGGGACGGTACAGACTCTGCACGCGCTGAAACCACAGAACAGAGGACGGTTAGCGTCAAACCGGAAACAGCCTATACACATGATAGGTACGGCTTTGCTAGTAGTTACTTCGTAAAACAGCTTATTTCTCACAAGGGCGTTGATGCAATTGATTCACTAAACTCATTACGTCACATGAATGCCATATCATACCTATACGGTACGACACCGGTCGAATGGCTAAAAAAAAGAAAACATGAAAAGGGAAATATGAAACAGCTACTCGTACTATCTAGCGCAGACACTCGCTTGAAACCGTATGTCAGAGCGTAACTACAAGCGCTATTCAATCTCGACGGCTGCAGAACGTCGCATAATGCCGTGCGGCACAGCATAGCTTCAGGCGCTATCCGCTGCTGCCACCTAGCGTCAGGAATCAAAACTCGTTCTGTGTCATCCGGCACAGCATATCTTAAGGCGCCATTCACTGCTGCCATCTACCGACAGATATATAAGCTCGCTAAATGCCTTGCGGCGCAGCATAGCTACAGGCGCTATTCACTGCTGCCACCTAGCGTCAGGAAGGAAAGCTCACGCAAGGCCGTGCGGCACAGCATAGCTTTAGGCGCTATTCTTTACTGCCATCTAGCGTAAGGAATTTAAGCTCTCGCAACGACATGCGGCACAGTATAGCTTCAGGCGCTATTCACTGCTGCCATCTAGCGTCCGCTCTGGAAACTCGCTCTGCGGTATGCATATGCCTACTACACCGCTTATTAATGCTCAGCGCTGTTGTCTTGCACAGCCGATCTACTTCTCCCGCTCCCTCCCCATCCACCGTGCACTTACGTCGTAGAGGTCGCCCTCTCCGGAGCGGACGAAACGGATGGCCTGTACGAGTCCGACGATGGGTACCAGCAGGATGGGAAACATCATGAGCATGGAGCCCAGCTGGCGCACCCACAGACCCCAGTAGCCGTAGCCGGAGCTCTCCTCCCACGTGAAGATGGCGTCAAAGCCGCCCGTCCGGAAAGACACCACCGAGAGGACCTGGCGGTGGGCGGAGAAACACAGAAGAGCGTCAGACATGAGCAGGACTCGAGCGACAGAGAATGATCATTGCGCTTCATTCAAACGAATTACACCAAGACGTCAGAGCTCTGAGAAGTAAACTTAAAAAATCCATGACCGTATTAGGTTAAAAAAGACTGGAAGCAGACATAATACGTTTAACGTAATACGTTTAACATAGGTCATACATTTCATACATTTGATCGTGAGGTGATAACTGTATGAACATCAAGCGTAGCAATCTCTCACCAGTAGTGCCATAGGCATCAGGACGTGCCAGACGAAGCTGAGGAAGGGCCCGGCCCAGTTGGTCATGCAGCCGTTATTGGCGATCAGAATGGTGACCACCTGAGTGGAGGCGAACGGCGTGCCGCGGATGTAGAACACGGCAAACAGCTGCAGGGTGGAGGGGTAAGATCGTCAGTGACAAGACAGAGTTGCATAGGTCTGTGCAAAAACATGGGCACCTATAGCCAATGAGTGAATATTTGATGACTTTGCTGCAGGTGAAGTGTCCTTGAAATAAATAAGGACAAATATAAAAGCCCATCTTTTTCTCCTAGAAGTGCCTAAGGTCGATACAAAACAGATGCCAAAATAAGTAACCTCCGTCTTCACTCAAACGCACTTGTTTACTAAACGCGCCAAAACCCCATTGCTCACCTCTAACACGTAGATAACGACCAGCCACCACAGACAGCCGACGCAGTAGTCGAGGAAGTAGATGATGTGGATGCCGATCTCTGTCATCAGCGGCAGGCTGAGGCCGAAGCCGGTGACGCAGACGATGAACGTGGTGGTCAGCTCCCAGGAGCGCATTTTGGCTGGACAGACGGAGATGACGGCCTCGACCACGGCTCGCCAGATGGCCAGCTGGGGGAGAGGAGAGGGGTCAGAGACGGCTGGGGTGATTGAAATAGGGGAGTGTGCGAAAGTTGAGATGACTCCCCACTCCCCAGCTTTCAATCAGCTTATTCAGTCATTTCCATTTTTTCAACCGTTCCACCTCTACCCCGTTCATCAAGTCGTCCGCTTTAGCCTGTCCTTTTTTTCTCTCTCACTATCTCCCTCTCTCTTTCTTTCTCTCCCTCTCTCCCTCCCTCTCCCTCTCCCTCCTTCCCTCCCTCCCTCCTTCCCTCCCTCCTTCCCTCCCTCCCTCCCTCCCTCTCTCTCACCTGTTGTCCCACTCCAAAGAGCAGCAGCGCCAGGTAGAAGACCAGCGCCCAGAACGAGCTGATGCCGCTGCCGCCCACCACAGCCAGAAGCGAGGGGAACAGCTCGGTGGCCAGCCGATGCACCTGGTAACCCGAGCTCCACACTGTGCCCTCCTCGCTGGCTGCCGACAGCTTGATGATGACGCCCGAGACCAGGTTGGTGTAGTGTTTCACCTCGGGCGGTGTGCCGCCGGAGTGCGAGGAGCCGATACCGGGCGCGATCAGGAACCGGCTCCGCTGCTCCGTCTCTGTTGAACGAGAGAGCGGGAGAGTGTGGTGAGAGGCCGATGTGAACAAGTTACTTTAACGACCAAATAAATGTGTTCTCATAGCATCTTCCTTTAGGTACAGCGTCAATAGTATCTGGATTTCCGAAGCGTCGATATTAGCATACAAATCCAGATACTGGTCCGTGTATCTTGAAAGAGCTCTCAATATTTAACGAAGCAATGGAATACCAAAATATGTCGATAATGTCATGCGTTCACTGTTCATAACCATCCATTGAGAAATATGTGTGTCGTCAATTACAAAAAAAAAAATCATAACCCTTTCTATCCTCAGACCTCAGTATCCCCACGGCGCTCTTACCGAAGGAGCTGGAGCCGATGATGTAGCCGATGTCTCCCACCCGCAGCGCATGCAGACAGGCGTATCCAAACAGTGCCGATAGGAAGAGCACCACTAATGTGACGAAGGCCACCAGGGTGGTGTCTCGCCGTAGGTTGTGGTTGAATTTGTTATGTGACGTCACAGCCATCAGCGCGGCGCCGTGCAGGCCCCAGATCATGAACGTCTCGCGGGCGGCCACCACCCATGGCTGTGGGGAGGGGGAAAAGTGTCAGAGCGGCCACCATTCACAACTGGGGGTGGGATGGGGGGGGGGGCAGGGCAGTGTCATAGCGGCCACCACCCACGGCTGGGGGAGGGAGGGGAGAGTGTCAGAACGAGCCGAAATCTGTCCACGACTAGGTACACGAGAGGAGTCAGAACGGTCACCAACCAATTCTGGGAAAGAAAGGGGTGATTCATAGAGATGAGTCATAAATAGCGCGACATTTCGGCTCTTTGGATCCCGGACTATATAAAATGCGCGTTTAGATACTGCCTAATAATTGTAGCAGGTTCGATTATGGAATGCGAAACTTGAACAGGGACTGGCTCACAATGTATTGCATTATGTGCTCTTACTCTCGCACTTACCACGGTACTCCAGAAGACGTTATCGAAGAGGACC